TGGTACCAATTTAAATACCAAACTGAAAATTGATACAATCTGAACTATTGGTACCAATTTGAACCTAGGAGCATTGGTACCAATTGAAAATGCTAAATATTGGTACCAATTTAAATCTCAGATTATTGGTACCAATTGAAAATGCTAAATATTGGTACCAATTTAAACCTTAGATTATTGGTACGAAAATGCTAATATTGGTATTGAAATTGATAAATTTTAGTACTAATTTAAACTTTAGAGTATTGGTACCAATGCCAAATATACCAATTAAATATAGAACCTATTGTTATCAATAGAAACTATTAACTCCTGGTACCACTAAAACAATTTTATTTATTATTTGGTACCACATACCATTCAAAAGCTACAGATAAAAGAATAACCCAAGAATCTCAACGTTAATTAATTATTTCTCTGCAAATGAAACAATATAAAACGTAAATGAATGGAAATTTCTCTTTCGAGTTTATTAACTGATAAAAGATAGAGAGGGGAACGAGGGACATTGTATATTTGAACGTTTTAATCAAGTTTGCGCAGGAAATGTCGCACGATTATCATTCTTTCCCTCTTCTTTTTTTTTAGTGTGCTTTCTAAAGAGGAAGAGAGCATTTTTTTTTCTTTTTATTAAATGTAACAAGAAAGTGACTATTGTGGCGATGAGATGGGATATAATGTTGCACTTTACAAAGATGATCTTAAAGGGACAGTGAGGCCATAATATGGCGAGTGTAAGATATCTCATGTTGCAGGTCGTTCACTTGGCAAGGGGACGAGCACACTGCTCACAGTAAAAATAGATTGAGCGCACCGAGGAGAGCTCGTGCTCTCACGCATGGCGCGACTTGTACCGCTTGTGTCCTATTCTCTTTTTCCATATTTTTTTTTCTTCTTTTTTCAAACACACCTCCAATTTGTTTCAAAATTTATTTTTCAAATTTATTTTTTCGAATTTACTTTTTGGAATTAATTTTTCAAATTCAATTCTCAAATTCGTTCTTCAAATTCAATTTTTGAATTAATTTTTCAAATTCAATTTTTGAATTCATTTTTCAAATTTAATTCAGGAATTGAGTTTTCAAGTTCAATTCTGGAATTAATTTTTCAAACGAAATTTTAGATTTAATTTTTCAAGTTCAATTCTGGAATTAATTTTTCAAATACAATATTAGAATTAATATTTAAAATTCAATTCTCGAATTAATACCTATTGAAAATTCAATTCTCGAATTAATTTTTAAAATTCAATTCTCTAATCAGTTTTTTTTTAGATTTAATTCTCGAATTCATTTTTCAAATTCATTTCTGGAATTAATTCTTCAAGTTCAATTCTAAAACTAATTTTCTAAATTCAATTCTGGAATTAATTTTTCATATTTAATTTTCAATTAATTTTTCAAATTCAATTCTCGAATCAATTTTTTAAATTTACTTCTAGAATTCATTTTTCAATTTCAATTTTCGAATTAATCTTTTAAATTTAACTCTCGAACTAAGTTTTCAAATTCAATTCTCGAATTCATTTTTTAAATTCAATTCTGTAATTAATTTTTCAAGCTCAATTCTGCAACTAATTTTTCAAACTCAATTGTCGAATTAATTTTTCGAATTAAATTTACGAATTAATCTTTTAAATTCAATTTTCGAATTAATTTTTCAAATTCAGTTCTCGAATTAGTTTTTTAAATTTAATACTCGAATTAATTTTTCAAATTGAATTTTCGAATTAATTTATCAAAATGAATTCTCGAATTATTTGTTTAAATTAGTTTTTCAAATTCATTTCTTAAATTTATTTTTTCAATTGAATTTCTATTTTATTTTATTTCTAAATAAATATTGTCTCAATGTTTTGAAAAAATATTTATTAAACTTAAATGCACAGAAATTTTGTACGAATTAAATTTTCCGACAAAAATTTCTTCGCTCACTAAAGAAAAAAAAATTTTATCGGCATTTCTTTTTGAATTGATAATAAATTTGCCATACAGACAAAATGTCTTTTCAATTATTTATTTATTAAACATATATTCAGTGGAGATAAGTTGATACACATATATCTGAATCATCTGATTATTCCAGTGACACCAATCTCTTAACAAAAATATAATAAAAGGCTGATGACACTTTATTAGTCTTTGTGATAAAAGAGCGATATATATTTGCCATCGGGCAATCGGAATATATATAATATTTAAGAGAAATATGTTTTGTAATTTAGAAAAGTGGGTGAAAAAAATTACTTTGAAAAACTATTTTTTTCGAATATTCCATATTTTTGAATATAATATAGGAATATTTCAGGAAATATTATTTTTTAAATTTACAACATTTTTACATTAGAAATAAATTGATAATTTATTTAATTTACGCAAAAATTGATTAATTTATCATCAATAATACAAATAAAATAATATATTTTTCAAAATTCCAATGAAATATTCTCGCACAATATTTTTTTGGAATATTTCTACATTATTCCCAAAGAACACTATAAAGGTCGGTAACTTTAATACTTATAAAATTTGGATGAAATATTCCAGAGGAATATTCTTTAAACGAAGACAGAATAAGAATATTATTGAGGAATATTCCTATAATGTGGATGGAATATTCCAGAGGAATATTCGTATAATGTGGATGAAATATTCCAGAGGAATATTTTTAAAATATGAATGGAATATTCTAGATTAATATTTTAAAAATATATATTAATGGAATATTCTAGATGAATATTTTTAAAATATGAATGGAATATTCTAGAGAAATATTCTTCAAACATGAATAAAATATTCCGGAGGAATATTTCTAAAAAGGGAATTAAATTTTTGAGAGGAATATTTTTACACTGTGTGTGAAATATTCGAGAGGAATATTTTTAAAACGTGGTTAGAATATTCCAGGGGAATATTCCTAAGATGTGTATTGATTATTCCGGGGAATATTTCTAAAAAGGGTATTGAATATTTCAGGGGAATATTCCTAAGAAGTGGATTAAATATTCCAGGGGAATATTCCTAAAAGGGGTATTGAATATTCCAGGAGAATATTCTTAGAAAGTGAATAAAATATTCCAGTTGAATATTCCTAAAATGTTTACAGAATTAGAGAATATTCCAGAGGAATATTCCAGGAATGTGAATGGAATATTCCTTACTATTTGGGTATATTGTATATTAATGCAAATTTGTACAAAAAAAAAAAAAATAAAACAAAAATATAATTGAAAAATAAAAAAGGTATACGAATAGGTAACATATATATTATTATGCAATTAATATCAATATAGCAATAATTACTATACAGTAGATGTATATTAGAATACAGAGAATATACATTATACAAGCGTATATTTATACTTGATTGAAATAATATACACGAGTTATAGAGCAAATCAGGTTTGATTGTATGGCAACAGCGCCAGTTCGAAGATTCCGCAAGACCTCCTCATTGGCTGAACGATTAACCAGGTTACTTTCAATAGTAGGACGATTAAAAATTATCCAATAATGTCTGCATGAATTAGTCCGAAGCCGCCTACAGCATTCGAAAGTGTTACAAGCACTTTTTCTCAACCACACTATATACTTTAACTCTATACATCAAAATTAGGATGTGGCCCCAAAAAAAAAAGAATTTTTCTCCACTTTTCCTAAGTTTTTTTAAAAATTTTTTTAATTTTAATTTAATAATTTTTTAATTTCTGTCATTTTTTTTTCAATTGTGACAAAAAATGTATTTTTATACTTTTATTTTCAAATGTGGGAAATTAATTCACATAAATAATATTAATTAATTAACTTTTATAAAGAAGTTTTTTTCGATCCTATTTTTTTCAATATCGCCAAAAGTGTTTTTGGAAAATTAATTTCTTTTCCTCGTATTTTCAATTTTCTTAATTTTTTGTCATCGAAAATATTTTTTTCGATATTTATAATAAAACTTTTCTAATATATTATTTTCAGTTGGAAATAGAATGAAAGAACCAAAAGGAAAAAAATCTTTATTCATTTTTTTAACACGAATATAAAAAAAATTCTAAATAAAAAAAATTTTTATTTGAAAAAAATTGAAGTTTTAATAAAATTTAATTTTTGGTAAAATTGAAAAAACTTCGTCTTAAAAGTATTTTAATATTCGTTGTGAAGTAGAGGGAAATAGAGAGTAAGTGGAGAAAAAAGAAAAGAAAGAAGGAATTAATAAAGCGAAACAATTGGAGAATGATCAAGTGATAAAAATATTATCCTTGCAACTTGAACTAAAGGACAAGTTGGCAAAGAACAAATTGGCATTGTCAGAGCAAAAAAGGATTTACAGTAGCATTCAAGTTCATGGACGAAGCGAAAGTATTTTTTTTTTTTCAAGGAATGCAGATTGTTAATGCGGTTAACTGATTGTTTCTTGTTTCGCTTGTGACGAGAATAAAAGACGCTCAAAAATTTTTTTTTTTTGAAGACAAATTTAGAATTTTTTTTTCACTTATATAAATAAACTTATTTCATTATAAATAAAAAATGTTTATAATATTCTCGCATCTTTATCGTTATCAAAAATCAGCCCATCGTCGCCATGTTGGCTCCGCCATTTTAAATTTTCCAAAACTATTGTCAAATTCGAATTCAATGAGTCGTAATTTTTTTTGTACTACTTTCAGCTATTAAACAACTCTTATTTTCAAAAGAAATATATTGTTATTCTTCCTTCCTTTTTCCCACTACTTTTAAATATGGAACAATATTTTTTTTTTTATAAAAATACTTTTTTTCAAAACAAGTATAATTTTTTTTCTTTTTTTATTACTTTCAGGTATTAACAAGAAAGAAACAACCAAATGTTAAATAATTACAAAAAAATAATAATAAACAATAAATAAATAATAAAATTTAAAATAATTACCAACAAAAAAATAAAAAAATACTTTTATTTTGTACCTTTTTGAATTTTTTTTAAAGAGAAGAAATGAAAAAGTGGCGGTATAAAATTGAAAAATGACAAACCTGTGTGTAACACCAGTTTTCAGCGACAGGAGTATTAACTTCCGGTGGTGGAGGGCTTGGAACGCGGCTTACAGCCATGCTACTGCTGCTGTGCAAATTGGAGCTGACCCGCGACGTTTGAGGCGCACATTCGCTCACCGCAAGTCTGTAACAGAGAAAGCGAAAGATTATTGCAGACGACTGCTTTTCTACGGGATCTTGGCAAAGAATTGTGGCTTCAAACGAAATTTTCGCAAATTGCTCTTTCTCTCTCTCTTACTCTCTTTCTCTCGATTATATACCACAATAATCAAAGCATCATTTCATCATACAAATTATTCAATATTTTTTAACTATATATAATAAATGCATTTAAATCCTCTTTTACATAAGCTTCCAATAAAAAAACACTTTTTTTTTATCTTTCAGAAACTCTTCGACATTTTTAATGTATAATTATCGAAAAAAATTTCAATTTCATTGCAAATCTTTTTTTTCAGGGCAAAAATTTCAATATTGTTGTAATTTTTTTCTTTCTGCGACAAAAATTTAATTCAATTTTAATTTTTCTTCTGAAAAAAAAATTATTTAACTTGATTCTTTTCTGAGGAAATTTTCATTTAATTGGTAACTTTTTTCTCTGCAAAAAAATCAACTTTATCGTAATTTCACTTTCTAATAAAAATTAAATTTTATTGTAATTCTTTTTACTGCAAAAATTTCAATTTTATTGTAATTCTTTCTTTCTGATTAAAATTCAATTTCATTGTAATTATTATTTTCTGCAAAAAAAAAAATTGAATTTTGTTGTGATTCCTCTTTCGCCAAAAATTGCAATTTGATTGTAATTTTTCTCTGCAAAAATTTCAATTTTATTTAATTTTTTTTTGCAAAAAAATGAAATGAAATTTTTAAATTTTTCTTTTAGAAAAAATTTAATTTATATGCATTTTTTTCTAAGGTAATTTTAATTTCATTGGTAATTTTTGTTTTCTGCAATAAAATCAATTTTATCGTAATTTCACATTCTGATAAAAATTCAATTTTATTGTAATTTTTTCTTTACGATTAAAATTCAATTTCATTGTAATTTTTATTTTCTGCAAAAAAAAAAAAAAAAAATTCAATTGTGTTGTGATTCCTTTTGCTTCAAAAATTGCCATTTATTTCTGCAAAAAAATTTCTTGTAATTCTTCTTCTAGAAAAATTTTAATTTAATTGTATTTTTTTTCTTCTTCAATTTCAATTTCATTTTAATTTTGTTATCAAAAAATTAAATTTTCTGCAAAAAATTCAGTTTCATTGTATTTTTTATTTTTTCCAAAAAAATCAATTATGTTGTGATTTCTCTTTCGCTAAAAATTGCAATTGAATAGTAATTTTTCGCTGTAAAAAATTCAATTTCATTGTAAATTTTTCTTTCTGACAAAAATTGTATTTTAATTATAATTTTTGTTTCCTGCAAAAAAATTCTATTTTGTTGTAATTTTTCTTTCATAAAAAATTTCAAGTGAATTATAATTTTTTTCTCGAGAAAGTTCAATTTTATTGTATAGGTAAAATCTTTTTTCTGCATAAAATTTCAATTTAATTGTAATTTTTATTTTCTGCAAAAATTTCTATTGCATCGTAACTTTTTTTTTAATGTAAAAAATTCAATTCAACTTTGCTTCAACACGATGAAAATTATCTTTCTGTACAATTTTATATACTATTTTTGCGAAGATTGTTTTAAATTTAATTTATATATTACACGTGTAGCACTGAGATTTGAATCCTTGTCTCGTCGTCACTATATATTATAATAATGATAATGATAATAATAATAAGAAATTCCAGTGGCATTATCTAAGCAATTCTGCAAAAAAGGAAGGATTCCATGAAATCTTCGTGTGAGAAATTTGCACTGTTCCTGAGAAAAAAGGATAGTTCATTTGAGAGATAAGAAATGTGTGTGAGTACAATAAGAAACTTGTGTATAGATACAATTGGAACACGTCCTCCTTTTCCTCATAACTGCTCGTTTTCATATCTTTCAACAATTCACGTCATATTCTACATTCAGGAAGTTGGTGTCTCTTTATTTATTATTATCGTTTTTATTTATTATTATTATTATTATTATTATTATTATTATTATTATTATTATTATTATTACTATTTTTATTTTTACTATTCTTATTATTTTTGCTATTACTATTTTTATTTTTTACCATTCGTATTATTTTTGCAATTAATTTAATTAATTAAATTGTTCTTATTATTTTATTTTTATTATTATAACAATAATTTAAAACTATTTTTACTATTATTTATTTATATTATAATAGTTGATAACAATTTATGTAGAAAAGTTTCGAAACTCATATTTAGACAAAAAGGAAAAAAAACAATAAACAAAATTAAAAATTAGAAATTTAAATATTCGTGAAAGGTGAGTTATAAACAAATTGTGCTTACAAATATTATTACAAGTCACACTACTTATTTCTCTCTTTCTCTCTCTCTTATTATGTATAAAAGTAAGTAGATATGTTTAAATGTTTAATAAAGGTCTCTCACTGGTTAATCTATAAGTTTCTCGAAAACTATAGTTATAGACTATTTGAGACTGGTTTGGAGAAGTTTAAATAGTCATCAACATTAGTACGCGATGTTCATAGCTAGAGGTCAAATAAATTTGGAAATTTATAAATGTTAAGGCTACTAATCTGCAGTGAAATAATGTAACGTGTATTTAAAGAAGGGGGAACTCGAGTTCATGGACAGTGGATCGATGCCTGGATATTGTCGAGTAGGGAAGCTCGCTAAAAGTGGGATAACAAACTAAGTATTATTATTATTGATGAAGTGGAGAATAACGTGCGGTGTGCACATTGTTTTATATATATACGTTGAGAGTGAAAATTAATCTCGAGAAAGAATTAAAAGAGGAATTTTCTTTTTTCCTTTTTTTATCTGCGATAAATTTTCATTTTTTCTTCTTCTATACATTTCCTTTTTTTTCTTCTCCAATTGGAGAAGAAGAAAAAAGAAAATGTAGAAATAAAATGTAGAAGAAGAAAAAAAGTAGCAGTATTTTCTACTTCTAGAAAAAGAAAGAAAAGAAGTGGAAGTAGAAGTAGAAGTAGAAGAACAAGAAGCAGTAAAAGTAAAAAAGAAGAAAAAGAAAATGTAGAAAAAAATGTAGAAGAAGAAAAAAAGAAGTATTTTCTACTTCAAGAAAAAAGAAGAAAAGAAGTGGAATTAGAAAAAAAGAAGCAGTAAAAGTAAAAAAGAAGAAAAAAGAAAGAAGAGAAAGAAAAGAAGTAGAAGAGAAAGAAGGGGAAGTGGGAGTATTTTCTACTTCTAATAAAAAGCAGAAGAAAGAAAAAAAGTGGAAGTAGAAGAAAATGCAGAAGTAGAAGTAAACGGAAGTATAGGAAAAAATATGGAAGAAGCATTTTCTACTTCTAGAAAGAGAAGAAAAGAGAAATAAAAGAATTAGAAGTAGAAGAAGAAAAAATGTAGAAGTATTTTCTACTTCTGAAAAAAAGAGAGAAGAAAAGTGGAAGTACACGAAGAAAAAAACTAAAAGTATTTTCTACTTTTTTTTAAAAAAGAAGAAACAAAAAAAAGTGGAAGTAGAAAAACTGAAAATATTTTCTATTTAAAAGAATGAAACAAAAAAAAGAAACAGTGGAAGTAGCAGAAAAAGAAAAAAACGTTAGAGAAGTGGAAAAAGAAAATGTAGGGAAAAAAATGTAGTGAAAGAAAAAAGAATTTTCTACTTCTAAAAAAGGAAGAAAAAAGAAAGAAAAGAAGTGGAAGTAGAAGTAAAAGGAAAAAAGAAGAAAACAGAAAGAAAAAAAGTAAAAGTAGAATAAAAAGTAGGAGTATTTTCTTTTTCTGAAAAGGAAAAGAAAGAAAGAATAGAAGTGAAAGTAGAAGAAGAAGTAGATGTATTTTCTACTTCTAAAAAAAGAAGAAAAAGAAAAAAATGAGTAAAAATGAGTAAAAGAAGAAAACGAAAGAGTAGTAAAAATAAAAAAGAACTAAGAGATAAAGATTAAAAACTAGAAATATTTTCTACTTTAAAAAAAAGAAGAAAGAAGAAAAAAGAGGAAGAAAAAAGAAAGAAAAAACGCTGAAGTAGAAGAGAAAGAAGAAAACAAAGAAGTAGAATTTTAAGAAAATGTAAAAGAAGAAGAAGAAGAAATAGAAAAATATTTTCTACTTCTAGAAAAAAAAAATAAGGAAAAGAAGTAGAAGTAGAAAAGAAGGAGAAAAAGTAGCAGTAGAAGTAAAAGTAGAAATAGAAAAAATCAAACGAAAAAATAGAAGTAGAAAAAAATCAAAAGAAAAAGTAGAAATAGATAAAAAAAATTAGAAGAAAAAATAGAAGTAGAATAAAATAAAATTTATTTATTAATTTCTATTAAATAGAAAAGGAAGTAGAAGAAGTTGAAGTAGAATGAGTAGTAGAAGTAGTAAAAATAAAAGAAAAGTAGTAGTAGAAGTAGAACTAGAAGTAGAAGCGAAGGAAGAAGAAGTAGAAGAAAAGGGAGAAAGGTATGCAGGGCACGCGATGGTGCTCGTGAGCGCCAAGTACGGGGCGGAACTACTCGACTTCCGTCGAGTGCAATAGCCCCAGGTTCATCGGACCTGGTTACACTCAGCCGACCGAAACGGATACTAGTCTAGCCTCCTATTTTATCTATTCTGCCGACTCTTTTTCGAATCACCTTTACCACCCGAACTCAATTTTTCCTTCATCTACGAATATTCACCAAACGCCATCATTTCAAATATAGAAACAAAATTTTAACTTTTCTGTTCAATAATTTCTTTGCCCCAAAAATCAATTTTTTTATCAATTTACTAAGTAATTTATTTATTACTCTATTTACTTATCACTGAATTTATTTATTTGCTTATTAATTCGTTTATTTATCAATCAATTTATCCATTAATTAATTAATTAGTTAGTTAATTCACTTAATCAATTAATTAATAAATAAATTTATTTATTTGTTAATTTATTAAGTAATTTATTTATTAATCAAGTTACTTATTTATTTAGCAATTTATTTATTAATAAATTGATTTATTTATCAATTTAATTAATTAAATTTAATGTTTTTATTTATTAATCAATTTATTTATTTATCAAATTATTTATTAATC